GCTCCTTGGAGGCTAAGATGGCCAAACTTCATCTCTCATACTTTGGCATATTGTCAGGAGGAACTAGTCACTGGAGAAGGATTTCATGTTTGGTAAGGTGGAGGGTCAGAGAAAAAGAGAAGACCCCCAACGAAATGGAATGGCCAAGTGGCAGCATCAATGGACTCAAGCATGGCAACAATAGTGAGGTTGGCCCATAATGGAGCACTGTTCGTTCCGCTGTGCATATGGTTGCTATGAGTTAGTACTGACTCGATGGTGTCTAACAACAATAACAAATACCAAACTTTTACTGGTTATAGTGTTACACTTATATTCTTTCCGTTTGGCGGTTATCTTTTTACTTTATATTGTTTATTGTTAAATAAAAGTTCTTAATTTTTGTTTGCATGTTGTTGTTGTTGTTAAGTGCTATCTAGTCGGTTCCGACCCATAGCGACCCTATACAGGGTTTCCGAGGGTGTAAATCTTTACGGGAGTAGAAAGCCTCATCTTTTACTTTATATTGTTTATTGTTAAATAAAAGTTCTTAATTTTTGTTTGCATGGTCCAGTTTATTAATTCTTTCTTCTAACATTGGTGCTTTTTATGTGTTTAAAGAAATCCTTCCCTATCTAACATTAGAAAAATATTCCCCTATATTTTCTTCATTAAAAGTTTCTTATGATTTAAATCCTTAATTCATTTAGAATTGATTTTGTATATCCTGTAAGTTAAGGATACAACTTTGTTATTTCTAAATGGATGTTCAGTTGTTTTAGTACCATTTAGTGAATAGTTCTTTCTCTTTTCCCAGTTGGCAATGCTAATTTGTCATATATCAGAGTTTCATTTATGTGTAGGTCTGTTTCTGGACTTTTCACATCCACTGTTCACTTCATACATCCACACTTCAATAGCATTCTATATCATATTTAGCCTTGATAGCAGGTCAAACAACACTCCCTTTATCTTCTTTCAAAACAGTCTTTGCTATTCTTGGCTGTTGTTTTTCCTTATGGAATTTTAATTAGTATTGTATTGAGTCCGTTAGATTAGTTTGGTATTATTTAACATCTTTATGGTACTATCTAGCAATATAGTCTACTTATCCATCATTTAGATATATTTATTCATTGTTTAGGTCTATATGTTATTAATTTATACAAATAGATGAGTTTGGTAAGAACCAAGTAGATTATTTGGTAAGATTAAATGGTAAAAACCATACCATTTTCAATGCTATTATAAATGATGTCTTTCTCAAATTATTTTCTGCCTGGTTATATATGAATGCCACTGATTTCTGTTATATATTGATCTACTCAGCTTCCTTAGTGAATGCGCTTATTAGTTCTAATAATCTGAGTTTCTTTTGAGTTTTTATTTAAACAACCTCTTGATTTCTGAAAAATGGAAGTTGTCTTTATTCCTTTACAATCCCTGTGTCTCAATTTCTTTTTCTTGTCTTCATGCACTAGCTAGGATCTACAATATGGTGTAGAAGAGGTAAATGCTCCCAAAGTTTTCCCAGTAAGACAAGTGTTTACTGTTGGAGTTTCATTAATACACTTTTTAGATTAAAGAAGTTCTCTCCTAGTTAGAAAACAATACTTTAATTTTCCAAGGAATTTATTTTTAATCATATATGGGTATTAAGTTAATTAAATGCTTTTTCTGACTCTGTTGAGGGAATTACAGCATTTTTCTCCTGGATTATGGCCATTAAAAAGACTTCTTTTTATGTGTGTGTGTTTATTAATTTCTGAGTACTTTCAAATGTAGGTTGACAAGGCAAGGTTATGGTAATGATCTGGTATACTTAAATAAAAAGAAAAAGGATGGTTAAGATTTCACTGCCCCACTCAACTTCTTTTGGTTAAGATTTAACTGTCCCTACCTAGCCTCTAGTTTTGCGCCAGACTGCAAAACTGTTTGAACTGCAAGGTCGGTGGTTCAAACTCACCAGCTGCTCCTTGGAAACCCTATACAGGGTCGCTGTGGGTTGGAACCAACTGGATGGCACTTCACAACAACAACTCAGCTTCATTAGCCTTTATTGTTGTTGTTGTTAAGTGCCAGCGAGTTGGTTCCGACCTATAGTGACCCTGTATAGGGTTTCCGAGGAGCAGCTGGTGAGCTTGAACCACTGACCTTGTGGTTCAAACTGACTTTGCAATCCAGCACATTTACCCACAGCGCCACACCAGGACAGCCTTCGGTAAATGGTAAAAGATAAGCAAAAGCAGTTTGGTGATACATTCATTACACATCAGTATATCACAAACTTTCACATCAATGGGAATTGCCTAGGATCTATGCAAAGCCAGGTGAGGCCTCAGGTTCAACATCTCTAACAAACGCCTATTGGTGCTGATTCTACAAGTCCATCAACCACACAGTTAACAAGGGTTTTGTAGCTTGTAAATGACTGAATTTGTTTTCTGAGCCTTTAGCTGATAGACTGTGCCTCAGATTGCAAAGGAGAACACATTACATCCAGAGAATAGGGAAATCATGAAAATTCAATTAGAAAGTGTTACTTTGACCAGCATTAACCTTAACTGGCTACTACTCGCCATGACAATTTCTCCATTAGGATATTAACTGTTTCATCTCCCCTCTTCTGTCTGCCCTCTGTAGCTTGATGTTGTTGGGGACAGTGCTGTGGATGAATTTGAAAAGCAAAGGCCAAGCAGAAAACAGAAAAGTTTAGGACTTCTGTGCCAGAAGTTTCTAGCTCGCTACCCAAGTTATCCCTTGTCAACCGAGAAAACTACTATCTCCCTAGATGAAGTTGCTGTCAGTCTCGGTATGTATCATCCACTTCCCTGGAGGCCTGTCTCCAGATGGAGTGGGAACTGATTTCCGTGGGGAGGCCTCAGGTAGATCTTTATTTTCTCTTTTTCAAACAAAGACTTGGTCCTCCACAGGGGTGAAGACAAAGGAGCAGGTAGATCTTCCTCAGTCATCAAATTTCTTTTCATTCTGCATAGAATTCCAGGGACCCTTCTAGACTAAAGTGGGGGTTTTAAAATTTTTAATATTTTTATGAAGCAGTTTTTACGACAGACACATTATGAGTTAAGATCTCATTTTTATTTTATCTCAGGCATACTGAAAATGATTTAGTAATCTATTTATTTTTAATAATGCTTCCAGGAGTTAAGAACTGGTTTTATTTCTTTTATAAAGCAAGATTTGAGAGCACAAGAGAATTATGTTTGAAGCCATGTATCATATTGACAGCTAGCCTGCTAAACACATCTAGATGTAACTCAGATAGTTCAGTCTTGTAATAAAGAGGGATACATGTGTTCACATGGCATGGGTGTGGAATGTGGGACTATGTGTAGCTGTAAATATATATACAGGAGCTTGAGAATAGAGACCCCTAGTGGGCATGTTTTCATGATGAACATATTGTTAACAGTCATAGAGCAAAAATCACCGTGGTTTGTAGTTGACTCAGGATATCCCCTAAAAATAAAGGGTTTAATGTACAAAACCCAAAAGAAAAACCAAACCAACACTCATAGTGACCCTATAACACAGAGCAGAACTGCCCCATGGGGTTTCCAAGGCTGGTAAGCTTTTCTGAAGCTGACTGCCAAATTTGTGGGTTCAGATCTCCAAACTTTTGGCTAGAGTGCTTAACAACTGGACCACCGGGGCTCCTAAAAAGAAAAAAAAGTTCTGAAGAAATCAGCCAAATAGTTTTTATAGTAGATTATATTTTTAGTTTGTTTATTAGTTTTCTTCTCACAGCCCAGAGAAGTGTGCCACAGTAGGTGGCTGTCAATGGGAATTATTCAAGCTGACGACAAAGAAGATTTTTGTTTTCAGAAGCTGAGGCCATGAGGAGGCAGTGGGTTGTGATGGCATGACAGGGCTAAGTTTGGGTCAAATAGGACTAAATTTGAAGTTCAGTTCCCCAAATTACAGAGAGACCTTGGGAAAGTTCACTTTTTCTCCTCTCTGAAATACTCACTGTAACACTGATCTTGCTGAGACTTAGTAGGAAGATTTGGAGAGAGTATCAGTCAAGTGCCTGACTCAGTGCCTCACATGAGGAACTCTTATTATTATGTGGGACAGTTTCTACTCGGCTCTTAGTAGATCGTTCCCATCCCTTCCCTGTGTAACCTAGGAGGAAAGAATAGGGTGCTAAGTGTAGGGAGCCTTTTTGGAACCCAGAAGTAGAATTCAGTATTTTAACACCAGAGCCAGTAAAATAAGGAAAAGTGAGCCACACAGAAGCACAGTATATATTTGTTGAGTGCCAATGAGTCAGTTGTAAATCATAGCAACCTAGTATCGGGTTTCAAGGAATAGCTGGTGGGTTTGAACCACCACCCTTACGGTTAGCAGTCCAATAATTATCATACAGCACCACACCAGCTATAGAGGCAGTTTAAAGAGCAGGATCCTCACAGTGCTTTTACTTTAGATGTTGTCATTGTGTGCCATCCAGTCAATTCCAACTCATAGTGACCCCATAGGTCAAGAGTAGAACTGCCCCATGAGGCTTCCTAGTCTGTACATTTTGACCAGTGCAGATTGTCAGGTCTTTTATACAGAGCAGCTGATGAGTTTGAAGCGCCAAGCTTTCGATTAGTAGCTGAGCACATAGCCAGTGTATCACCAGGGCTGTTTTACAGTGGACGAGGGTCAAACAGTAGGTCATCCAGAGTATCCTCAATGGGGTTCATGAAGTCAACTTTCTCCATTTACCTGAATTTCATCACTGATGTCAGTGCAGAAGGCAAACAATTAGATGTTGAAAGGCTGTGTTACTTGTAGCAGACAGTACAGAGAAGTGGAACCCTTCTCTGCAGATCCCCATGCTAGGCTCCAGGAGCAGGACTCCAGAGATATTGACAGCAGCTCCCCTTTCCCTCCTGATTGCCCATTTCTGCCAAATGCATGGCAGGGTCTTCTACTGGGAACTGTTTCAGAGATGCCCTTCTCTTGGAATTAAACCTAAATTCACTGCTACATCTCAGGTTACAAGGTGGTGGTGCTGTGTCTTTGAGACAGTCCTGACTCCTAATGCCTGAGTCCTAGTGTGACTGTAGGTTAATGCTCTGGACTACAAGGTTGGTTTGAACCACAAGGTTGGTGGTTAATGCTCACCAGCTGCTCCTTGGAAACCCTGTACATGGTCACCATGAGTTGGAACCAACTCAATGGTACTTAACAACAAAAATAACATAGGGTTACCAAGACTGTAAATCTTTATGGGAGTAGGAAAGCCTCAGCTTTCTCCCAAGGAGCAACTGGTAGATTCAAACGGTTGACATTGTGGTTAGCATCCCAACTTGTAATCTGCTATGCTACCAGGGCTCCTGCAAGTTACAAGGTATACTTCTTTTATCCAAGGATGATTGCATTGTTTCTTGGATTCTTGTGCCCTGGAAGCAGCAGATTGATATTGTAGGTAAGAAGTAAAAGAACTGAGTGTGACCTTAGCAAAGGGAAAATAACATGGCCTCTAGGCAACTATTTTATTAGGCTGAGAGAGGTTCTTGATAAAACCCTGTCAGGGACTAAGGGAAGCATGGTGACAACTGGTAAATCCTTGATGGCGTAACTAATACCATGACTAGGATTAATAGGATTACCTTGGTACAAAAGAGAAAGATGGCTGAATGCCAGAGAAAATCTTCCTAACAAAAGAAATCCCCAAAGTAACCTGTAGGTCTTAAGACCTGTGAAATGGAACTTTCTAGTGTACCAGCCAACAGTTAAACTCAGTTCAGATGGCAAAGACTAGTGATGAAGCAGGCAAGCTGCTGCCACATTTGTCTTCAGTAACACCGCCTTTAGACATTTTCATTGGACATATTAAGCTTAACACTTTACTCTCCAAGCTGTCTAGCCACTACGTGGAGACTTAAAGGCTTCTATCAAATAGATAACAAAATAGGCATATGGGGTATCTCAGTTGCAGTCACATGATATTTCTAAGGGAATGGTTTATAGAGTATTGTACTCTAAACAAGATGGGTTAATATGTGCAGACAGATGAGGACTAGGTGGTTCTGGACAAGGACTGATGACTGCTCCTGCCATCATTTCCCAGGAGGCATCTAGCCCTGCAGCCTAACTTCTGATAGTGAAAAGCTCTCAGAGTCATGAACTGAAATGTCCCAGTTGACTGAAATACCCTTTCATGCATGTGATAGAACTTCCCTCTCAGCTCCAAAGTTTTCATTGTTGTTTGGTATGTTTATTATATTAAATCTTTGAGGGGCCTAAAGCTATTTTCTCTGAGTCTACCCTGATTATATTACAGCTCCTGGCAAGTGAGCCTAAAGGGCATCTTAGTAGGATTTCTGGGCGATGGCTGCAGGCCTTTGTTTGGGATGCTTAGATGAGAGCAGAGGTGGCCAGTGGATTCCAATGCCTTAGGGCCTGTTGCTCAACTGGATGAGTCACAGATGTGAGAGTTGTTAAATTGCTTTCTAATGTAACCTCTTATTCTAGCAAGAATTGCAGGTATCTTCAGTGCCAAGCAAAAAATGTTTTCAGAATCATACAATAGTGTAAGTGTAGATACATTTATTGGAAATGCTTTACATATATTTAATCTTCATCCTTTTCTGAGAGAAATATGAAGGCACAGAAAGGGAAAGTAACTTGTCACATGTAACCACTGTAAATATTGTTGGTAAATTTGATGATAGCTCACAATCCTAGCTGTTTGAGGATGTTGGGAGGATGGGTAAGAACTTGACGGACTTCCTAGAGTCTCTGTGTTTCACTTTGAGCTGCCTGACAGTATATGTGAGGGGAGCACAGAGAGAAGAGCTCTGAGGAACGAAAGGAGAGGCCGGTGTTGCCCAATCCTATTTTCAGCTTCTTTCAGCAACCTGAGGCCACTTCTTCAAAATGGGAGAAAACATCCACTCCTCTTTTTTCCTTACTAGACCATAAAAGAAAGTTAACAAGGTAGTTTATTCCAGTGAAGGGTAATAGTGTTCAGTAATGAGGTGTCTGTTTATTGTATAGTTTGCTACAAATAAAGATCAGTTATCCATCTCCATTAGGAACACATATGTTGTTCAATGCCATCAGACTTGATGCACTAAAATGTTTATGTGGTTTGCCTAACAGGTCTAAAGAAACATTGCTATGCTGTTGATGAAACATAGATGGAACTATCATCCATCTCTAGACAGATGTGTCATCCTATATCTTACCGGGTTTTGGATCCCAGGAACTCAGACAAATAATTTCTGTTGCTTGCTTCCTTACAGGTTGAATTGGTTGAGGAACCACACTTGCTGGGCATTGCATTGGGCATCATACAAAGTAGTTACTTCCTGGCTCTCAGGGAATTCACACTCAAAAATGTTCATCTGCATGTTGTCTGTTGGTTTCTGCTTTTGAAACAGGCGTTGAAAGGAGACGTATCTATGACATTGTAAATGTGCTGGAGTCACTACAACTGGTCACCCGGGTGGCCAAGAATCAGTATGGTTGGCATGGACGTCACAGCCTGCCAAAAACCCTGAGGAACCTCCAGAGACTAGGTGAAGAGCAGAAATATGAAGAGCAGATGGCATACCTCCAACAGAGAGAGCTAGACCTGATGGATTATAAATTTGGAGAGCGCAAAAAAGATGGCTATCCCGATTCCCAGGACCAACCATTATTGGATTTCTCTGAATCCGACTATCCCTCTTGTGAGTGCATTATAAAAACATGACTATGGCAGAGAATGTGCTATTCTCTTCTGAAGAGATTATTACTAAGATGGAAAGTGTCAGACTGACAACCCTGGAGGAAGGTGCCCTCTTATTCTCGATCCTGAGAAAGGGAGACAGATGGCTCCCCAATTGGGCTGCCCTGTCAACCTCATGTAAAGGGTAGCTAGTGGCACTTCACTGGGGATTTGCTGGTTTGGGACCATAGATCACTAAGAGTACTTCTTGTTCAGACTGACAACCCCTTGCTGCTTTCTTTTTGTCAGTCTTTAACTAAAGGTTTCTTTGAAAGAAGTAATCTTTCAAAAACCACTTTTTAAAAATCGCATTTTGGAGTGGATTACTTAGAAAAGAGCTTTTTATCCAAAAATGTTGACTTGGAGAGAAATCCCTGCTTTCGTTTGATGTGGATATGTTTTGTACTTTTTTTGTTGTCCCTTGTCCTCACCTTCACTTTCTGTTTTCCTTCTGTTTTAGCGATTGGTCGTCATCATTCTTCCCGTCCTTCTTATTGCTAAGATGATTAAAAAGTACAAGTATCACGCACATTTCACTTGCAAATATCAGAAATGGAAAGAATGGTGGGCCTGGTTTTCATTAGCTTCACTGCCTCATGCCTTTTAGTTCCACCCCATGAGCCAGTATTTATCCTAATAACCGGAGGAGACAGCCATCTGTCGGGGATGCTTGGCCTGTCATCCACATCTCATCAGCGTCTCCCATTTATTTCTAGTGCACTTACTCTCCTACTTGGGAAGAGAATTGGAGGCGGTAGGCATCAACTGTGTGTAGTGTATATTCTAGATGTGAATACAGAGAAGTGAAAATGGAATCCCTGCCTGTGAGGGAAGAGTTGTTGTTCCGAAAACAAGCAGGATGTTCTGATTCCTGCTCTGTCCTTTTATTCCTCTGCATTGATCTTTTCAAAAAGTCACTTTGAGACGACTGCGTTATGGCCTGTATTATAGGGAGTGTGAGTATAAAGCATTAACAGAAGTTTAAAATATGCATTTCAGAGTTTGTGCCTACTGCAGAGGAATTGTATGAGCCACTAGAAATCCAGTCGTACTTCTTTATGAACTGACTGTTGTGTGTGTCCAAATAAGTTTCTGCCTGTAACAAGGATGGTCTTTCCATCTGGTGGTTTCAAAGCTAGATTGTGCCAGCAAACTGTAAGCAGAGTCTTCATGATGGTAAATGATATGTTTTGATACTTTTGTTTTATTCCCTTTGTAGCATCTGCAAATAGTAGAAAAGACAAATCTTTAAGAATTATGAGCCAGAAATTTGTTATGCTATTCCTCGTATCCAAAACCAAGATTGTTACTCTTGATGTGGCTGCCAAAATACTGATAGAAGAAAGCCAAGATACTCCGGATCATAGTAAATTTAAAAGTAAGAATCTTCACCTGTGTCCATTTTAACAACACAAAAAGGGTAGAATTTCATCTGTTGATATTTCTGCCTGAGAATTGAAACATTTTTTTAAAAATTATTTGGTGAATTACACTTCTTCCCTGTCGAAATTCTTCCTGCATTTCTAAAGGTTACTGCTGTCTTGTTAGTTGCCACTGAGTCAACTGCAATTGATTGTGAACTTCTGTACAGCAGGATGAAACATTGCCAAGCCATGCATCATCCTCACAGTGACCAGCATATTTGAGCCCATAGCTGTGCCTACTATGCCAATCCATCCCACCAAGAATCTTGTGACCCTTGACTTCACCAAACATAATGCCTTTGTCTAGCACTTGACACACACACTCCCGCCTCCCACCCAAATTATGTCTCCAAAGTCAGACCATTGTTATGTTGTGGTTAATATTCCATGAAAAAGGTTTTCATTTGCTGAATTGGGGAAATAAATTTCCAAGCCTTTCTTCCTAGCCTCTCAGTATAGATGCTCCACTGAAACCTGTCCACCCTGGGCAGCCCTGCTGATATTTGGGGTATTGGAGGCATAGTTTCCAGATAGCACATAGCAACACATCAGTCAGCACAGCACTGCAAACTGACAGATGCTGGTTGATGCGAGAAGTTAAATCACCTGCTAGAATTCCCATTAGAGCTCATCAGGTGCTTTTCCTTGGGCAATCAGGAAGGATATGAGCTATCTTGCATTTCTCGTTAGTATCACTGCTTCCAAGAAGGAATGTCTGAGTTTTCTTTCCCCTTTTCTCTCTGCCCCCTGCATACTCCTCTGAAGGGTGGAGATGAAAGTTGTCAAAGGTAAGAACAGGGCAGGGTAGGGAGGCGGGACATGGCTCCTGGACAAAGGAGAGACTTTCTGGGTACCACACCCAGTGCATCTACCTTTTCTGCCAGAGCACAGATAATGAGCCAGATGTCTCCAGTTTGCTGATAGTTCTTTCAAACCTTGGGAAGTCAGGAGCGCAACATTCTCTAGCTTTTTCTCTTCCCAGCTAGAATTACAGCCACCCTGTGGGGGAAATGGCTAGATAAAATTTGGCCCTGTCAGGATTGGAAAGAAAGCCGCATTAAGAGCGGTTACTCCATTTCTGACCAAAGATCAAAGCTCCTCTACTTGATTTTAGTCCTAAAGTCAAGGAGGTTTCTTACTTTCAAATTGGTCTCTTGAGTAGAAAATACTTTATGGTCATAGTCTCACTTATTTGTGTGTTATTCTCTTCCAAGAGTCTCTTCTAGTTTGTGCATTTTCAAATATCTTCCCTAAACCCTCGTAGGATTCAGGGAATGCTTCCTACCCCGTGACTGAGTGGCTAGGATGCCAAAATTTGGGGTGAGGAATTACCTACCTGCCTTTTGCAACTGTACCTCGTGCCCTTGAGTCCCAGCCATCCTGTGCCCAGTAATGCAGCCTCTGCAGGAAGCTCTGGAGACCCCTGTCATTTTCACAGGCCGGCTGATGCTGATGACGTGAGCTCCTGCTGGGAGAAACTCAGGCGGGGTCAGCATGTGCCATGCCACATATCAGAATTAGTTACTAAGACTTTAATTATAGCCCACTGCCCTTCTCTCCCTTGGTAGTTTTGCAATTCCAGCACACCCTGCTTGTCACCAGTTACATCTTGTAAGAGGTGTGAAGTCGTGGAAATGGAAGGACACACTGACCTTCCCTTAGTATCTGTCTAGATACATCAGCTATATACACCTGTGAGATTTCAAGATTAAGCCACTGGTCTCTGCATGTCACCTCGTTGCTTTCTGCTTGATGTTTATACAATAACCTAGAAAAGTTACCTATCACATAAGCTTAAATGTTATGGTGTCAGGAACAGCATAATTATAAATGTGCCTTGTATCTTCAAGCAAAGGTACGACGCCTCTATGACATAGCCAATGTTCTGACCAGCTTGGCCCTGATAAAGAAAGTGCATGTAACTGAAGAACGAGGTCGTAAACCAGCCTTCAAATGGATTGGACCAGTGGACTTCAATACCAGTGGTAAGGCAGTAAGCTTGTCCTGTTTATCTATCATCCCAAATTACTGTTTTCAAGATATACATATTGCACAGTGAGACTGATTTATCTTTGGTTCCCATGTTGTTCTTAGTTGTCATCACCTCATGGTGACCCACTGCATAGTGAGATCAAAGCATTGTCATCCATAGTGTTTTCAATGGCAGATTTTTTTGGAAGTGGACTACCAAATCTTTCCCTTTTTTGTCTGTTTCAGTAGGGAAACTCTGCAGAAGATTTTTTAAAAGGTTACAAGTGTTATAGTTTTAGTAAACTAGAGTTGTTATATGCCTTGAAGTCTTGGAAACCTATTCATATAGAGTTTCCAAGAGTGACTGGTGGGTTTGAACTACTGGTAACTTGCAGTTACTAATCCTGTGTTATCCTACAGTACCACCAGCCTACAGTGTATTGTTGTTAAGTGCCATCCTGTTAGTTCTGATTCATAGCAATTTCCATGGAGCGGCTGGTGGATTTAAAGTACAGACCTCATGATTAGCAGTCCAGTGCTTATCCTACAAGGCCACACCAGGACTCCAGGTGTGCTTAATTCACAGGTAATGTCTGAGCAATCAGGAACTGGATCCTACCACACATTTAGCTGGGCTGCTTGTGGGAAAAAAACAAAGTTATTTTTAAATTAGATTTACAATATTGGTGCTATTGGTATAAATTTGTGCTGCTTAAACCAAGTTTATAAAAGACATAGTTCTTCATCTCTCGGCACACATTATTCACTTAGGATATAGATGAAACCACTTAAAATTTAAGTACAAATAATTCAACCCAGCAAGTACTTATTGATTGTGAACTGTGTACCAATTACTATGCTAAATGCCATGAGAGATTTAAAGACTTAAAGATATGTGTGACACAGTGTCTGCCTGTAGGAAACATACAACTTTGCCATTTCCTGCTTCTCTATCTTGGGCTTCTATTCTTTTCAGTCTCTCTTCTCCTTGACTTCTCCACAGAAAACTATTCTACTCAACCTTAAAGAACTGGCTCAAATGTCCATTCCTTCATGAAGTTTTCCCTGACTACCCAAAGATGACTCATCTGAATTAGTGCAATTCGGTATTACATTTGTGCTGTTGGTGTTGTGGTTGACATGTTTGTGGCTGGAGACATTTTTTATTCATCTTTGATTACCCCACCCAGAGCTCTACTAGCATATTAGTTGATTAATGATGAACTTCTGCTGAAGGTGGAAAATTAGCACACATCTGAAAATTGGAGAGCCGGACAGAATAGTACTGGCTCCGCAGGAATTCAGAGAAAATGTAGGTTGAGTTATGATGAAATTAGGGGTTTTGCAAGGATAGGGAGCCTTCCAGTTGAAGTATCAGCATAGGTAAGAACGAATTTGGTATTTTGGGGAGACCAGCCATTCTGATGAAAATGGAGAGGATTGGGTAGAAAATATTGAGAAATAAGATGTGGTTTATTAGTACCACATGTTGAACAACCTCAAAACCAAAGCCAAGTAATAAGGATTCGATGTAAAAGGTAGAAGAGAACAAAGACTTAGGAGATGGTACCACTGAAGAAAATCAGAAAACTAGTGTAGTGGGTTATGCAATGAGCCACAACCTACTAGCTCGGGGACTCAAGCCCACCAACTGTTCTGCAGGAGAAAGATGATGCGCTCTGTTCCTGGAAAGATATTTCGTCTTGGAATCCCCACGGGGAAGCTCTACTCTGTCCTAGAAAGTCACTATGAATTGGAAGCAACTGGTCACCAGTGGGTTGGAAAAGGAGAAACTGGTGTTTTTAAGACTGAAGAGTTCGTGTATTTTTGCATGACCAATTGAGAGAGCTTAGATCTGTCAAGGGAAGAAGGACTTGGAGCCACAGTGTATCTCATTAGTGTATCACCAACTTCAGAATGTCCTGGAACGTTTGGTTACATTCAGGCATCTGGACCACATTGTAAGGAGACAGGAACCTGGATTTTTGTCAAGTTCCTGTCATGATTCTTTTGTACACTAAAATTTAACCTTTTGAGTTGTTTATAAAAAGTAGATTTGAATAAAAAGTCTCAGATGTATGCCCCACTATAAGCTACTGTGTAATTACCATTTCCTGTGCCCTTCATCCCTTCTTGTAGGCCCATGTATTTGTTGCTTGATGGCAGATGATGTATTCGTTCAGCTAAAGTCTTTATTTTGCCTTTGTTTTTGAGACACTTTCACTTGAGCAAAGGCTGACAAGGTGATTTTGTTTTTCAGTCCTTTAAAGAAGTTGTTCCACTGTCTTCTAACTTTTGTTAGAACAGTTTGTTTTGTTCCTGCAAGAAATCTACTGAAACCCTGTTTTATTTGTAACATCTTTTTTTTCCTGGTTGCTTTTAAGGTTTTCTCTTTATGACTGGTTTAAAGCATTTTGATTATGATATTACTTGATGTGTGCCCGGATTGTATCCTTTCACTATAGCTTTTCAGTCTGTATGCTGAGCAAATAATCTGAGAGGCTGGATTGTATGAAGATGAATGTAGCATCAAGACTGGAGTGAAATTCATTTAACAACCTACGAAATGTCTGTTCAGCCTTGTTTGCTGAAAGCATTGTTGTTGTTAGGTGCCATCGAGTTGGTACCGACTTATAGCGACCTTATGCACAGCAGAAAGAATCACTGCCCAATCCTGGGCCAACCTCACTACTGTTGCCACACTTGAGTCCATTGATACTGCCACTTGGCCAATCCATCTCAGTGGGGGTTCTTTCTCTTTTTCTCTGACCCGCCACCTTACCAAACATGATACCCTTCTCCAGAAACTGGTGTCTCCTGACAATATGTCCGAAGTATGAGAGACAAAGTTTGGCCATCTTGGCCTCCAAGGAGCACTCTGCCTGCACTTCTTCCAAAATGGATCTGTTGGTTCTTTTGGCAGCCTATGGCAATTTCAATATTCTCATCTAACACCACAACTCAAAAGCATCAATTCTTCTACGGTCTTCCTTATTCACTGTTCAACTTTCGCATGCATATGGTTACTGAAAATACTATGGCTTGGGTCAGGTGCACATTTGTCTTCAAGCTGACATCTTTGCTCTTCAACACTTTAAAAAGGTCTTATGCAGCAGATTTGCCTAATGCGGTACGCCGTTTGATTTCTTGACTGCTCCTTCCATGAGTGTTGATAGTTGATCCAAGAAGAATGAAGTCCTTGACAACGTCAGTCTTTTCTCCATGATAAGAATGTTGTTTATCGGTCCAGTGGTGAGGATTTTTGTTTTCTTGACATTGACATGTAATCCATACCGAAGGCTGTGTTCTTTGATCTTCATCAGTAAATGTTTTAAGTCTTCTTCACTTTCAGCAAGCAAGGTTGTATCATCAGTATATCACAGGTTGTTAATGAGTTTTTCTCCAATCCTGATGTCATGTTTTTCTTCATAGAACCCAACTTCTCGGATTATTTGCTCAGCATACAGGTTGAATAAGTATGGTGAAAGAATACAACCTTGTCACACACCTTTCTTAATTTGAAACCCAGTGTTCCCATGTTCTGTAGGAACAACTGCCTCTTGGTCCAGGTATAGATTCCTCACGAGCACAATTACGTCTTCTGGAATATTCATACTTCACGATGTTTTCCATAGCTTGTCATGATCCACATAATCAAAACCCTTTGCGTAGTCAATAAAGCACAGGCAAACATCTTTCTGATATTCTCTGCTTTCAGCCAAGATCCATCAGATATCAGCAGTGATATCCCTCGTTCCGCGGCCTCTTCTGAATCCAGTTTGAACCTCTGTTCTCTGGCAATGCATGCTTGCAGACGTTTTTGTATTACCTTTAGTAAAACTTTACTCGCATGGCATATCAAAGATATTGTCCGATGATTTCCACATTCTGTTGGGTCACCTCTCTTTGGAATGGGCACAAATACGGATCTCTTCCAGTGGCCAGATAGGTGTCTTCCAAATATATTGGCATAGATGAGTGAGTACCTCCTGTGCCGCCTCACTTTCTTGAAAGATTTCAATTTTTATTCCATCAATACCTGATGCCTTGTTCTTTGCCAATTCCTTCAATGCACCTTGGACTTCCTCCTTCATTATCATTGGCTCTTGATCATATTCTACCTCTTGAAACAGTTGAACATTAACCATTTCCTTTTGGTACAGTAACTCTGTGTATTGCTTCCATCTTCTCTTGATGCTTTCTGCATCATCATAGAGGACTTAAAATACTGAAAAAGACCAAAGACTGTAGTCTTCAGTGTGGATTATACCTCATTGTAAAGAAAACGAAAGTCAAAGTGTTCCAGAGCAAAGATGCAAGGTTGAGGACTAAATTGTCTCTGATCCAAGTCATAGTATTTTCAGTTGACTCGTGTTCATGTGAGAGTTGGACAGTGAATAGGGCAGACTGCAGAAGAATCAATTCATTTGAATTGTGTTAGAGAATATGAAAAGAATCTTGAACTGCCAGAAAACAAATCTGCCTTGGAGGAAGTGCAGCCAGAATGCTCCCTAAAAGCTAGGATGGTGAGACTTTATCTATCATACTTCTGACATGTTATCTATCATACTTCTATCATGTTATCAGAAGGGACCAGTCAGTCGTTGGAGAAGGACATCATGTTTGGTAAAATGGAGAGTTGGTTAAAAAGACGAAGATCCCCATGGAGATAGGTTGACAGAGTGACAGCAGCAATGGGCTCAAATGTAACAATTGTGAGGATGGCACAGGCCCGGGCACTGTTTTGTTCTGTTGTACATAGGTCGCTATGAGTTGGAACAGACTTGACAATGCCTAACAGCAACAAATGCCTTTGTGTTGGGAGCACTGTGGCTCTAAATGACTATCATGTGAGCCACAAGGTCAGTGGTTTAAGTTCACCAGCCACTCCATGGGAAAAACATGAGGCTTTGTGTTCCCACAAAGATGTACAACTTCGAAAACCCTATCTAGGCCTGCTATGAATCGGAACCTATGTGACGGCCGTAATAACAACATGCCTTGGTGTAGTTCATGTTTTATGTACTTGGGTCTGTTGAACTTCTTGGATTTGTGGGTTTACCTTTTCATTAATAATGCCTATTTTTTTGGACATTATTTCTGTTGATTCATCCCCCCACCCCTGTCCAGTGACTACTTGAAGTTGTTCCACAAATCACTGATGCTAAGTTCACTTATTTCAGACTTTTTTCTTTGCAATTTATTTTGGATAATTGCTATTCCTATACCTTCAAGTTCACCATTCTTTTCTCTGTGGTTGTTAAGTGCCTTCAAGTCATTCCCAATCCATAGCGACCCTGTGTAGTTGTTGTTAGGTGCCACTGTTACAGCCACTGTGTTAATTCATCTTATTGGGGGTCTTATTCACTAGTCCCCTACTTTACTAACAATAACATTCTTCTCCAGAGACTAGCTCCTCCTGATAACATAGTCAAAGTACATGAGACAAAATCTCGCCATCCTGGCCTCTAAGGAGCGTTCTGGCTATACTGCTTCCAACACAGATTTGTTGACCTTCTGGCAGTTCATGATACCATTAAAATTCTCCTCCAACACCAGAACTCAAATGTATCAATTCCTTATGGTCTTCCTTATTCATTGTACAGCTGTCACATACATGTGAGGCTATTGAAAATACCATGGCTTTGGTCAGGTGCACGTTAGTTCTCAAACTGACATCTTTACTCTTGAACACTTTAAAGAGGTCTTGTGCATCAGATTTGCCTGATGTAGTACATTGTTTGGTTTCTTGACTGCTGCTTCCATGAGTGTTGATGATGGAGCTAAGCAAAATGAAGTCTAACAACTTCAATCTTTTCTCCATTTAGATGGATGCTATTTATTGGTCCAGTGATGAGGATTTTTGTTTTCTTTACATTGAGATGCAACCCATAATGAAGGCTGTGGTCTTTGATCTTCATCAGTATTTTAAGTCCTCTTCACTTTCAGCAAGCAAGGTTGTATCATCTGTATATCACAAGTTGTTAATGAGTCTTCCTCCAATCCTGATGGCATGTTCTTCATGTAATCCAGCTTCTCTGCAGTTAGTATTTACTATTTAGCATTAATATTAGTATTCAATACAGGCATTCATCACTTGATGGTGGTGGTGATTGTGTGCCATTGAGTCACTTCCGACTCATAGAGACCCTGAATAGGGTTTCAAGACTAAATCTTTATGAAAACAGAAAGCCTGTTCTTTCTCCCATGGAGGAGTTGGTAGACTCAAACTGCTGATTTCTTGTTAGCAGCCCAACTCATAACCCACTATGCTATCATAGTTCCTATTCATAGCTTAACAGCCATGATTATGTTGCGCTAGGGCAGTATGTGATTTGGATGTGTGAACACATTATTATACACAGGATGTCCCTAATCTAAACTATGTTTGGAACTTTATGGGCGCCCACTAAATAAAGCCCAAGAGCTGTATCCATTGGATACAGGAGACCAGCCTTGCCAGATGTACAGCTGGAATGGGGACGTTGCTGGCAGCCATGTTGGGATTTTGCACATGTCTGTGTGTAGGTGTTGGGGTGGTGGCCGTGGGGACTAGGTGTGCAGATGCTGGGAGCACAGCTGGCTATGGCAGCCCTGACTGCTGGAGGTCATGAGCACTCTAGGCCTGGCCGTTGCCATTAGTGCCCTCAGCATGAGCAGCAGAGCCACGTGGGATAGACTCTGGCCTGCACTAGGCATGAAAGGCTCACATGACTGCTGGGCTGGTGAATGAAGGTAGGAAGAGACACTGTGGGAATTAGGATGCACCCTAAAGCCCCACTGCTCAGTCACTCTAAGGGTTTGGTTGTATTTTTCTACTTTATTGTGTATCTGGTAGTTTTCAATTCTGTTCCAGACATTGAGAATGATAGGAGTATTGTTAGGGGCTGGGTATTTCAGTATTCCTAAAGGTCAGTGGTTCAAGCTCACCAGCTGCTCCATGGAAACTCTATACAGGGTCGCTATGGGTTGGAACCAACTCGATGGCGCTTAACAACAACAACAACAAAGGTATTCTGGTGTGGCTCTGTGGGTTAATGCATTGGACTGCAAGGTGGGTTTGAACTGCAGTGTTGGTGGTTCAAGCTTACCATTTGCTCTTCAGAAACCCAAAACCCTATACAGGGTCGCTATGGGTCAGAACCGACCCAATGGCACTTAACAATAACAAAAGATACTATTGGAGGACAGTGTGTTGGCTCCATAGAATAAGCACTAGACTGTAAACCACAAGATCCACAGTTCAGGCCCACCAGCTACTCCTTGGGAGAAAGATGAGGCTTTCTGCACCTGTAACGATTTAAAGCCTCGAAAACCCTGTACAGTTGTTGTTGGTAAGTGTTGTCGAGTTTGTTCCAAGGAGTGGCTGGTGAGCTGAACCACCAACTTGTGGTTCAAACCAACCTTGCAGTCTAGTGCATTAACTTGCAGCGCCACGCTGGGACTCCATAGAAAAGCAGGGGTGGGGAGCCATTTTTCTGCCAAGGGCCATTTGGTTATTTATAACATCATTCATGAACCAAACTATAAACTTAAAAATCAGCCAGCTATATTTGGTTAAACATTTAATGAACTAACCTTAATGTGATGCCTGGAACTGCAGTTTCCTTGCAAGGCCAAATGATTTAGTGGACTTTATATAGGGGCTGGACATTCCCCATCGCTGCTATACAGGGTTGCTATGAGTCAGAATTGACTCAACAGCACTGAACAACAACCAGGATGCTCTTGAACTTTGGTGTAGGAAGCAGTGAAGTTATTTGGAAACAGTAAGCCTTTCAGGTTTTCCTTTTAAACTTTGATACGTAGGACCCATTAGCACTTAGTCTAGGTCCCATTTTCCCCACTACTGAAGTACTACCTTTTCTTAGCACTCTAACCAATGTCCCCTACATTATGAGGTTGTCTACTCTGACTACTGGGAACAGGTAGTACTACCAGACCTGTATGTGCTTCTGTTTACTAGTTTCCTCACATATGTCAGTACTCCACCAAGTTTTTAAGGGGACCCTCTGCAGAGCTTCAGAATTCTTTCATAGCTCAGCTCTCTCTTCTCCAATATTCTGCCCGCCCTATAAACTTTAGCTGCCAGGCTTGCAGCTCCAGCTCCTCACCTTAGGCAGGACCTCGGGGTTTCCCTAGCTATCCACACACACTCCCCTGGAAACCTCCTGCACCCAGTAAGCTGGGGTAGTCCTGTATTGGGAATCACCAGCCTTTATTACTGGTGCCCAGCTTTGAAAGCTGTTACTTTATATTTTGTCTAATTTTCTACTTGTTTCAGGAAAGAGGGTAAATATGATCCCTGTTACTGTCTTGGCCCACTTTCTTATTTTCAAAATCTGTAATTTCTGATTTTCTAACGCAAACATTAGGCTTTTGTTATAATAAAAACAATATTATAAAGCTGATTTCTTTTCTAATGTTACTTTACTGTGAAATTGTGTGTTCTAGAAAACATAACCTCTAAGCAGGCCTTTCATTTCAGGAAGTCAGCCTCATAATTTAAAATGCACATGCTTGAAGTGATTAAACAATAACAAAATAGCACAACTGGCCAGAGAAGCTATGCCAGTCCGGGTATGAGGGTCAGCTGACTGACTAGAGAGACGTTCTGTTTTGACTTCACACAGATTCCTTTAAGCGTAAAGTATGCCTCCAAACCCAACCTTTTCTTTTTCTCATTGGTCTGCCGCTTTTCAATCACGAGGTTTCTGCTGACCTTGTTCCTTTGGTCACTTAGTAACTGAACCTCCTACTGCATAAGAAAGAAATAATAAAGTATAATAAAAGATTCAGGAATTCTTAGAGGCATTGCCCTAGAGCTGTAGCATAAGAGGCTGAGCTCCATTAATCTTGATAGTGAATCTCAAAATATGAATGTAGGGTTGAGCGTGGTTGCTCATATAGGTCTGCTCTAATTCAGGCAGAAGAACATCTTGCTCTACATTTGCTGTTCAGATAATCTTTTTTAAAATTAAATATTGTTAAACTAATATACAAAAGTACAGGGTCACTATGAGTCAGAATCTACTCAACAGTATTTAACAACAACAGTATATATAATGGAGTTCTGGTGTGGCACTGTAGGATAAGCACTGGGCTGTTAACTTAAAAAAAAATTAATACTTTAAAAGAAGTTGGGGTTTGAGACATGGCTTATAAAACTTCCTTCGTTTTTTATCTATAGGGTAGCTCCATTACAATTACAAACTCAAAGCCCTATCTTACAAATGCTAAAATTATCCTGAATTAGAGCTATATAACAACACTACCAATTCTCTCATTTATATAGATGAACAGCTAGTGGATGTTTCTGCACCTGTCTTACCAGAATTGAAGAGAGAAACATTTGGCCAGATTCAAGTTTGTGCAAAACAGAGACTGGCTCGACATAATTCCTTTAACACAGTGCAAGCTTCTGACAAGATCAAGAGGAAAGTGAACTCAGAACCCAGCAGTCCTTCTTACAGAGAAGAACAAGGTATCTGCCCTTGCTTAGCTCCTGGAATATGTTCATCACAGTGTAATTGTAGCCCTGCCCATGTGCTGGCATTTAAAAGTGAGCTGACTCTCTAGGCCCTATCTATTGTTTCCTCAGCCCAGCTTCATTTGACTGAATTGAAATGGTTATTGGGGATAGAGGGAATGCTGAGTTCACAGTGTATTATGAATGTGGTCCCCATGTCTGAAATTGATCCTGTTCAGTCTTACAGGTCAGCTGATCCACCATGTTGACCTGTTTGATGAGCCTTACAAATTTGTCAGACTTAAAAACTTTATTTTCTTCTCTTTTTCTCTGTCTCAGTGTGTGTGTGTATGTGTGCTTACTAATTCTTGTTTAGACCTGAATTCACCATTAAGAGCTTGCTTCTTAAAATTAGTTTTGTTCTAAGAACCAGAACAGGATTTGAGATCATCCTGGAATCCCTGAGCTAGCTGTCAATAATTAATTCCACTGTATATAATTAATTGGTGTTTATAAGTCTCTTGCTGTATTTGTTCAGCTTCTGTTTTCCTTTTCAGGATCAGGTGGCTACTCCTTAGAAATTGGAAGTCTGGCAGCTGTGTACCGACAGCAAATAGAAGAAAATACACAGTAAGTAGTCTTTAAAAACTCAGAGTATAGAATTGGCATCCAACAAAACATAGTTGTTTAGTACTCTTGTGTGTTTGGCAGTCATTTTTTTTATGAAGATGTTAATATGCTTCCCCTTTGTGCCCAGCACTGTATATAAGTAGATCAGAGACACACACAAAAAAATAGGAAATATTTATTATCTAAGGTATGATAGGGAGCAAAAAAATAAATAAATACACTGAAAAAAAGACAAGTTCACTAAATATTGTAGCACTGAGAAATAATGCAAGATGGTCCCAAGGATCATTTCATCATTGTCATGTCTAACTATGCACTGTTCCAAGAGTTTTATATATATTAACTCATCTAATTATAAAAACAATCCTTTGAGGCTGGCACTATTATCCTCATTTTACGAAGAGGGAACTGAAAGCCAGAAGGATTAAATAATTTGCCCAAATTTGTACTGCCACTAAACGATAGATCTGGATTCAAATCCAGACCATCTGACTGAGAACATGATCTTTGCCCTGTCATGGACCTAGTGGGAGGCCTAACTGCACCACTTCATAGATAGCTGGCCTTAGGCCTAACCTCTGTTCTTTGGTTTTCCTCACTAGTAAACTGGGAAGATATCAAAGTAACTACTATCGTAATGCCTGTATTCATTGCCATTGAGTCAATTCCTATTCTTAGTGATCGTGCAGGACAAAATAGAACTTCCCATAGGGTTTCCAAGGCTGTGAGTATATATAGAAGCTGGTGGAGTTGAACTGCCAACCTTTTGCTCAGCATCCAAGCACTAAGCCACTGTTCCCCCAGTATAAAAGTTTTACAGTATTATGCTAATAACACATAGATAGACTCCCGCTCGTGGTGAGCTTCTATCTGACAGAACAGAACTTTGCACCACCCTCCCATTTGCCAGCATTTTTGGGTCCGTCATTAGAGCTATCATCTCACCACCCTTGCCGGTCCTCTTCTTCACCACACATGATGTCTTCCACTCTGGATTATATGTTCAGAGTCAGCAAATCAGACCTTATTTTGTTGTGACCCATAAGGTTTTCATCAGTACCTCAGTAGACCTTCCTTAGTCTGACTTTGTCTGGAAGCATGCTGAAACCTTTCCATCATGAGTGACCATGCTGGTGTTTGAAATTCCAGTGGCTTTTCTTCCAGCATTAGCACAACATACAGCCACCAAGTACCACAAACTAACAGAAGAGTTGTTGTTGTTAAGTGCCGTTGAGTTGGTTTTGACCCATGGCAACTGTGTATAGGGTTTCAAGGAGCAGTTGCTGAGCTTGAACTGCCAGCCTTGCATTTCAAGCCAACTTTGCAATCCAGCGCATTAACACACCGCGCCATACCAGGACCCCGACAGAGTTGGAAGAGTGGTGGGTACTAATTGTTAGTGCTGTCAAGTTGTTTCCATCTCATAGTGACTCTGTGTAGGGTTTAGGGAGTAGAAAGCCTCTGAAATTACACAAAAGCTCTTCCCACCCAAGCCTTAAAAATCCTCCCAGGTTATCCTCGGCTATGTGCGTGTGGGGTTACCTGATAGGAAAATACCTCAGAGAGTGCATTTTAAGATTAGCGTGAGCAGCAGCTTCTCAGTGTGGGTCTCTCTAGAAAACCAAAGGCGCAGGAGTTGGTAGAATGTGGTCACGCAGTGGTACTCATTATTTTTCTTCACATTACAGGAGCAGAACCTTTGCCAATAACTTTGCCAGTAAGACAGTGGTACCTCCATCAAACAGCTTGGACCCTGTTCCTCCTTTCCCTGTCCTTCCAGTTGACTCCGAATACTCTGCTAGTCCCTTAGCCCAACAAGTATTTTCTGTTCCTCAAACGGACACACAGACACTCTCCACACAGAATGATCTGAATGGACAAGTGTGTGTCACGCACACTCTTGCAGCCTCTGATGTGGAAAATCTGAAACCAGCTGTGCTTGCTGGTCAGCCCTTGGTGTACGTGCCCTCCACGTCCCTCTTCATGCTGTATGGGAACCTTCCAGAGGGTCTGCCTCCTGGATCAGGCTCAGAGAGGGACAGCAGAAGCGCAGAAGTCGCAGCAGCAGAGCTGTCATTTGTGCCTTCTGCTCACAAGCGTGTCAGTGAGGAGAGGAAGCCTCATGGGGAGGAAGAGCCGGCTGTGAAAAGACAAAGTATGGAGTACGAAGACGGCCCCCTATCCCTTGTCGTGCGCAAGGTAAGGGCATCCAGGAGGCTGTGTCTGGTGGCCTCCCACTAACTTCCTAAGAAGACACAGATACAATAAGCTGAGTCTGCCATGTGTGAATATTCATGTGTCACTTGTATCCTACCACCAGACTGGTGTTTTTCCAAAAAAAACCTTGCCATAATAATACTATAAGAAAAGTAAATGAATTTTAAACAAGTCACTCTTTATATGACAAAAAAGATACTCATAATGCTACCACATAGAGGCGATCAGTGTTGGCATGTTTACTTATTTAACTTTTTCACACAAGTTGGGATCACTGAAATCACCTTTATCCGGGATGCAGCTGAGTTTCAGTCAGGAATTTGGGTACTGCCCAGCTTTCACTGCCTTTGCGTGGTCAGTTCTCATCACTGCCCAGTGACTCTGTCTCCTTAGCTACAAAATGAGCAGAAAAGAAGCATGAGCTCTCTACATCTCCTGCTTAGTAGCCTTTCCGAGGGTAATGAGATATGACCAGGGAAGCTCTCAGAAAGCAGAAGCAGTGTCCTGACAGCAAGCTGGAGGTCAGTTAGGCATACTTGATGGAAATCATTCCATTTATTAAGAACCTTTCTCTGCTCCTTTCTCCATTCTGGCCAGAATGACTGTTTCCAATTCTGTGTCTAGCCTCAAGTTGCAGAATAGAAGTGAGAAATGTAGACCGATTTCACTCAACCAGCTCTGATTTGGGCCAGCCCTGCAATTCTATGTTGTTGTGTGCCTCAAGTCAATTCTAACGTAAAACGACCCTGTAAGGCAGAGAAAACGGCCCCATAGGATTTTCTAAGCTGTAAAAGGAGCTCTGGTAACGTAGTGGTTATAAATTGGGCTGCGAACCACAAGGTCAGCTGTTCAAAACTACCAGCCACTCCATGGGAGAAAGATGAGACTTTCTGCTCCCGTGATGATTTACAGCCTCAGAAACCCTGTACAGGGTCACTATGGGTCGGAACCGACTCAACACCACAGAACAACAACAACAGTCTTTACGGGAGACAGATCACCAGGTCTTTTTTCCCATGGTGGGGCTGGTGGTTTCAAGCCACAGACCTTTCAGTAAGTAGCTGAGTACTTTAACCATTCTGCTACCAGTTCAATAAGGCCCCTACGTGAATATCATCAACACCCTTTATGAATCATCAGTTCAAAAATCTGTTTCACAGTCTTCCTGCTTATACAAAACGTCTACAGTAGTCAGTGTATAGAGACCCAAGTCTATTAGTGGTTAACATTAGTGGGAGGGGGAAAAGAAAGGAGTCATTGCTTGGCGTGTGGAGGAAGGGGAGGACTGAACTCTGTTAAGGGTGGTGGAAACCATAGCAATGATCCTTGCACATTATGATGAAGGTAATCCGCGTCACTGAAGTGTATGTGTAAGAATTGTTGAAGTATATATGTATATGTTGTTGTCAACTGCTGTCAAGTTGGTTTCGACTCATAGAAAATCCTGTATCGGGTGTCTGAGGGGCAGCTGGTGGGTTTGATCTGCCAGCCTTGTGGTTTTCGGTTCAGTACTGATCCTACAGTGCCACACCAGGAGTCTATATGTATTCACCACAATTTTTAAAAATGTGTTTTTAAACACATTTTGTAACATTATAGCCAGTTTTCCATTATTTAAATCGCCATCATTTTATATGTAGGAATCCAAGTATACACATCCCCATGACTTGGCGTTTGTTTTCAGAGTGTGCCTATAAATATTACTAAAACCACTGACATGCACAAATCAGCAAGGCGCACAGCTAAGCTTTACCTTTTTGTTTATGGTTTTACTATTCTGAGAAAGCTGTTAAGATTTACTGCCTGAGTTTCACTTGCTTTTCTGGTTCTGGTTTGGTTGTACCAATAGGAACCCTCAGATCTCACAGACATCGCCTCCTCTCAGGCTGTCAGTCACATGGAGTCCACGCCCCTCGAAGTCATCCATGTGAATGGTCAGCTGCCTACTGCAGTGGAGGTTTCAGGAAAGGCTACAGCAAACTGCTTTGTTTCTCCTGAGTGGGGAGATCCTTCTTCAAGAAATATAGAGATCGAAAAGCCTTCAAAAGAAAACGAATGCACCAAAGAGCCCCCTTTGTTGCAGTATCTTTATGTGCATTCTCCAGCTGGTAAGTGTATCTATCCTCTTGTCCCAGAGTCCCTGGTTTGGTACTTGGGATCATAAATTGGATTTTTAAATTTGCATCTTGTCACCTGACCCATGTGGTTCACTGACGAGCAGCTGCCAATGACCTCTGGGTCATTTTTCTCATAGCCTCTTGTTTTCTCTGTCTACAAAATGTGAGTGGAGGCTGTTCCTGTCGTCACCAAAGTCAGGCCAAATTGGAACATTATTGGACAGGTCATTAAAAAAAGTATGTTGTTGTTATGTGCCTTGGAGTTGATTCCGACTCATAGTGACCCTGCACAGCGTTTCCGAGGCTGTAAATCTTTACGGGAGCAGAAAGCCTCATCTTTCTCCCGCGGAGCAACTGGTAGTTTCGAACTGCTGACCTTAAGGTTCACAGCCCGATTCATAACCACTACGTTACCAGAGCTCCTTAAACTTAAAAAAAAAAGTATTAAACTTGTATGATAAAGTAAGAAAAGCCTAATCAGTTCAAACAGTAACTTTTTAACTCCACTGAGCCAGACACTAGTTCTTTATAATAACCTAACCCTATTGGCCATGTGTGTAAGGAGTGTTTTGATCCCTTGAGAATCAAGTTCTGAGTATATTGTTGTGGTCAAGTATCAACTCAGAAGTAAGAGGGCTGGAGGTTTAGAAACCACTTATTATCTTCATGAACTTAAGGCAAACCATTCAGCCATCCTCATCAGTTAAAATAGGGATAATAGTCATCTGCTTCTTAGAGTTGCTTTGAAAATTAAACTAAAATTAGGATAATATGTTTAAAGCACTTAGAAGAGTGCCTGGAACTTAGTAAGTACTAAATACATTTTAGCTTTTATTGTTTTGAATTAAAGCTAAAATATAATAGTCATTTGACAAGACATGCAGAATGTCCATGAAGCTGCTCTCGACACCAAGATACATAGTGGTCAATTTCTTGTTGATTTAAGCATCTTTTCCAGGCCAGGTTGGGTATTTGTTATTATTTACTTATCTAGGAAATATTCTTTATCCTTTTAGCAAATATGTTTAACTGTTTAAGCATTATACTCAACATCGGGAATACACGGATGAACTAAAAACAGACTTACTTCTGCCAAATGAAAGTTACAGCCCAGCACAGAGATCTTTAACTTTTTCTGTGCCATATACCCATACGTAGTTGGGTGAATCCTGCTTATTCCTTTTCAAAATGTTAATAATTGCATATAGGGTTATAAATGAATTAAACTATATTGAGGAGTCCTGGTATGGGGCTGTAGGATAAGCACTGGACTGCTAATCACAAGGTCAGTGGTTCAAACCCACCATTCGCTTCTCATACCGTTCACTTTGCAACTCTATACAGTGTTGCTGAGTTGGAACTGACTTAATAACAAACCATAGTGAAATATAATTATTAAATGCTTTCAAAATTCTTTGTGGTAATGAGGATCTGGCAGCAGATCTAATACTATCGTTGTAAAAGTACAATGAACTTAAATATTAGTACAATGTTAAAAGTATAATGAACTTAATATTAAGTATATTAAATCTGCAGTAGCCATAATGTAATATAAACATATCTGTGCTTTTTACTTGTGACAAAGTCAGGTGCTTTAAATACTATTCAGATTCATTGCTTGTAATCATAATTGAGGGAAGTAGGAATTTTCAATTAGAAGTTAGTAAAAAAGGTATCATTTTTCTCATGTGTATTCACTGTGCTCCTTAATTGCAGTTCAGTGGCGCTCAAGACCCCTGACAATCTCAGATACTTGTACTACAGCATTTATAGTACAATTGTCCACAATTGGCAAAACATGGAAACAACTTAAGTACCCATCAAGAGATGAATGGATAAATAAAATGTGATAGAGCATTTTATTTTTTATAAATGTATTTATGGATGAATGTTATTCATCCATGAAGAGAAATTAATCCTGATGCATGCTACATCATGGATGAACCTTCAGAACATTATGCTAAGTGACATAAATCAGACCAACTGAACAAATAATTGCATGATTGCACCTATGTGAACTGTCTAGAACAGGCTGATGCATAGAGAGCAGAGTTCATTAGACAAGAGCTCGTGAGAGGGAGAAATGGGAAAGTGTTACTTATAGGGTACTGAGTTTCTGTGTAAGTTAAGGAAGATATTTGGAAACCGATAGTGGTAATGGTCATACAGTGTGGTGTTCATAGTTAATGTCACCCAAATTGTAAAGGTAAAAGTGACAGATATTTTGTTATATATGAGGAGCTTCATGTAAAAATGTAATTTTCCCATGAAATCTTTTGGAGTCCTTTCATATATTTTACAGTAAAAGAAAACCTCTTAGGAGACAGCCACTGACCAAATTCTGACCCAGGTTCCAGTGGAATTCTGACCAGTGCTGTGAATGAGAGGTGTGGGAAAGCAGGGCAAAGCCAAGGCCATCTAACATGGTCAGGCCAAGGGAGTTTTCATCAGTTATTATTTACTGTAGACTGATTGAAAGTGCTCTCTTCCTTGTGTGATTTTTCACCTCACTCTGCTTCTTGTTGCAGGATTAAATGGTTTCAATGTGCTCTTACCCAGCACTCAGACCCCTCATGCTGTGGGGCCGTCATCAGGTCAGCTGCCACCCCTCAGTGTTCCGTGCATGGTCCTGCCGTCTTCAACCCTAGGCCCTTTTCCAGTCCTCTATTCACCTGCAGTGCCAGGGCCAGGGTCCTCTGCTCCTGGCACGATCCCAAACACAGGACCCCTGAATTTCGGCCTTCCTGGCTTTGGATCGACAACAGCTCATTTTCTCATCAGTCCTACAACCATGGTTAATCCAAAGCCATCAACATTCCCCCCCGCAGACCCTCTGCTTCAGGGTCAGCCCTCCCTGAACCCCAGTCCAGAAGTATCACAGTGCTACGGTGCCATACAACCGGAATCACCAATTTACGTGGGGCATCCAGCCCCAACAGTGACGTTACAACAGGTGAGCCCTCAATGTTCATTTCAGTTTGGCACAAGAAGGCTGCGTTACCGTGTGATGAATGGGGTATACCTGTACTTGTTGTTGTTAGGTGCCATCGAGTCGGTGCTGACTCATAGCAACCCTATGCATAGTAGAACGAAACACTGTCTGATCCTGGGCCAACCTCACTATTATTACCACACTTGAGCCCATTGATGCTGCCACTTGGGGATCTTCCTCTTTTTCTCTGACCCTCCACCTTACCAAACATGATATCCTTCTCCAGTGACTGGTCCCTCCTGACAATATGTCCAAAGTATGAGAGACGAAGACGTTTGGCCATCCTGGCCTCCAAGGAGCACTCTGGCTGCACTTATTCTAACACAGATCTGTGCTTAGTGAGTTATAATTATAGAACAGAGGTTCTAGGTCAGCCCGTACCTGACCTTCGTTGCAGACCCAGAGTTAGCCTTATTTTATAAAACACTGTGACATAGCGGGACATCCTATGCTTTAAGGAAAACAATTTTTAATATAGTCATTCTGTTTCTTAGAATTTGAGGGGATGTATTATAGGCATACTGGACTGCTAACACAAGGTCAGTGGTTTAAACCCCACAGCTACTCCTTGGAAACCCTATATATGGTCCCTATGAGTCAGAACCAACTTGATAGCACTTAACATCATAGCTGTGGCTCAGGTGGATTTTTTTTTTTTTTTTTTGTAGTGAGAGGGAGGTTTTCTTTACTTGATTTTACAAAATCGGGCACCCAGCCCAGTAGACACGTGCAAATATGCCACATGGTCCGCCACTAATGGTTTTTATTCTTGTCTCCAAAAAGCCTCTTCTCCAGTTCCTGTTCCTCATATACAATACAACTCTATGGCATATCCCATTTTCCCTCCTACCCAGAGAAGCCAAAATGGCTTGCCCATGGTCTTAATGATTGTTGTTGTTAGGTGCCATCGAGTCAGCACCAACTCAAAGTGATCTTATGCACAACAGAATGAAACACTGTCTGGTCTTGGGCCAACCTCACAATCAATGTACTGTCACACTTGAGCCCATCAGTGCTGCCACTTAGCCAATCCATCTCGCTGGGGGTCTTCCTCTTTTTCTCTGACCTTCCACCTTACCAATATGTCCCAAGTATGAGAGATGAAGTTTGGCCATCCTGGCCTCCAAGGAGCACTCTGGCTGCACTTCTTTCAAAACAGATCTGTTGGTTCTTTTGGCTGCCCATGGCACTTTCAATATTCTCATCCAACACCACAACTCAAAAGCTGTATTCTTATTTCAATTTCCGAGTCCTGCTGGTTTCAACAATCTGTCTGCAAGGTCTAGCAATCTCATGAATTCCTCAGGTGGATTTCTGATGGGTTCTGAGTATTCAGAAGTTTCTCCAAGCTTTCATTTCATTAGGTCAAAACCAGAAAACCAAGCCCAGTCCCACTGAGTCAATGTCGACTCCTAACTAACCTGTATAGAGTTTCTGAGACTGTCAAGTTGTACAGGAGCAGACAGCTTCCTCTGTCTCCTACAGAGCAGCTGCTGGGTTTGAATTACTGACTTTGTGCTTAGCAGTCCAGTGCTTATCCTACAACACCACCAGGGCTCGAACCAGCCCACATTTTTTATTATACAGTTATAGAATCAATCGAGGTATTTAAAGGTCTTCAGACTAAATCAAATAATTTTCAAATCAGTGACTTCTGAAGATGAACTGTTTAGAGTGAAGCAGTGAATATATATATTTACATAAGATGTGTTTAAAAATGTATGTACACATAATCGGTATGAAACTATTAGCACTGTATTAGTTCCACCAAACTCCATTTTGTAGTTCAATCAAGTAGTTAAGTTTCTATTATGAATTCAGCATGTTCGAAGTGATGGCTTTTATAGAAAAAAAGTGTTATGTGGTAGTCAGAACTATCTTAGACACTTACTCAGAAGCTCAGAAGTTTGTTCAACATTGAAATAATCATGTTGGGTTTTAAACATTTACTTTTTGATCATTGATGTAGGCAATAAGGATATAACAATAAATAGGGGATGGTCCCTGCCCTTTGAGGGCACGTAAAGAAGACAAATAAAATCATATAAACAGAGTTGACATTAAAAACACTACTTGCCTATTAAGTGCTGTCGAGTTGCTTCCATCTCATTTGTTGTTGTTGTTGTTATGTGCCGTCGAGTCGGTTCCGACCCATAGCGACCCTGTATAGGGTTTCCGAGGGTGTAAATCTTTTCAGGAGTAGAAAGCCTCATCTTTCTCCCGCGGAGTAGCTGGTAGTTTCGAACCACTGACCTTAAGGTTCGCAGCCCGATTTGTCTCATAGCAACCCTGAATTGAGTTTCCAAGGCTGTAAATCTGTACAGGAGGAAAAAGCTCATCTTTCTCCCTGGTGATGGTGGTCGTGCTGTGCCTTCTGGTTTTCAAGGCTGTAAATTTTTATGGGAACAGAAAGCCTCATCTTTCTGCCGTGGAACAGCTAGTAGTTTCAAACTGCTGACCTTGAAATTATCACCCTGACTTGTATCCACATGCTCTAAAACGCTTTACAAGTATCATCTCACTTAATTCTGACAGTGCTGTGAAGGTGGTGCTTTTATCGTGCCCGTTTTACAGGTGAAGAAACGTAAGGAGCAGATTGGTTAAACAATTTTCCCGAGGTCACACATCTAGTTATGGCAAAGCCCAGGCTGTTGCTCCAGAAACCACACTTGTAACCTCTGTGCTAGACTGCCTTTCTGCACACAAAATAAAGAAAAGCTCGTCCATTTCCAATGGTGACAAGTGTGTGCAGGAGATCTGTGGAATGCGTGTGACAGAGAAGTAAAGAGGTGGAATACCTCTATAAGAGTCAGGAAGGCTCCCATCAAGAAAGGGAGTCCAGATCAGGTTGAGAATAGTTCAACTTGGCCATGGTTTATCTGATGTTCTGATATCACTCTCTCTGTAGTCACCAGCCCCAGTGACTCCCAAGAGCATCCGACGCACACATCGTGAAACATTTTTCAAGACACCTGGCAGCCTCGGAGACCCTGTTACTAGGAAAAGAGAGAGGCATCAGTCACGAAATACCATCTCAGCCCAGAGAAGACTAGAGATCCCCAGCGGCGGGGCTGACTAACCCACCACTTGGCTGGGTGGGGTGAATGCCCTTGGGTTACAGGTGATGTGCTAAGGCTGAGCAGGAAGCAGCTGTAGACCACCAGTCGTCAGCCTGTGCCTCCTTCCTCTGTCTCCATCCGCTGGTTCTGTGAACTCCTCATCATGCATCATCTATTTTCCTGAAAGTAATTGTTATTAATCGTGCATTTAATACCAATTTGGTTCAGACTCTGGTTGATGTCACAGTGAAAGCATTGATTGACTTGTGGTTTGGGTTCCAGAAGCATCTTACTGCTGTAAGTAGATCTGAACAGGCTACTGGAGCCCTATGGTGTTCCTAAAATGGGGGAGGGGGCTGTCTAGCACTTAACTAGGGCAAGCAGTCTTGACATGTATTCCACTTGCCCTGAGTAAATCTGTGGTGAAAAATACTCCTTTTCTGCAGTTTAAAAAAGCTACTGCTTCTTTAGGCTTCATCAGTGAAGCCATCTTCAGTTGTGAGTCCTATGGTATTATTTATTTTCTTCCTGAAATGGGATTTAGTGCAAAAAGTTTACAACTACAGCAGAACAGAATTCTTTTCAGGGTATGACGACTTGAATGTGTATACTTTTTTCCCCCTGAAATTTGCCCTGCACTTATTCTACATCCTAATAATAATGTGGATAAATATATATACGTGGCAAAATATCAAGACCAAAATCACTGTGAAGAATGACACACTTTGCTCTAAATGAACTGTGCTAACCCTGACTGTGGACTTGAGAACTTAGATGAACTCCAGCGGCCCAATTGCCGCTTCTCAAGTAACCATGTGAACAATGAGGTTCTACTCTTCCTGTGTAAAATTTCCTCCTAGCAACAGTTTTCTCCACTAAATGCCCCTGTGTTTTTTTATTTAAATGTTAACTTTTAGAGTAGTTGGGTACGGATGTCTTTAAACAATTACTGTTTATAGAATAAATCAGGGTGGTATAAAGTGATTCTATGAAATATTGGGATCTGGATGGGATCTTTGGGGAGGATTTGAAAGAAGAGTAACGGTGTAGAAATTTATATAAGGCAATAGGTAATTCTTTCACTGATTTTTTTTTTTTTTTTAAATATTTGGAAGGGTAAGAGGAGAACTGGGCCTGTTTTATTCAGTATCCACGTACTCAAACCAGAATTACAGAATACTTCTGAAAAATAAGAACAGTGAACACAGGGGTTTGGTGTTCTAGCACACACATATGTTCTGGAAGATATTATGCAATAATCCCATGTTAAACCACATTACTGTAGCATTTCATTAAGTAGCCTAACTAGCTTTTTATATTCATAGGTTTATTGATATTTACCTCACTGTCTTCAGAGTAGGTGCCTTTCTTCCCCTCCTCCCTCCCTGCATCCTTCCACTCTCTCTCGTCTTTCCTTCTTGCTCCCCCCTCCCCCTTCTTACCTTCCTTCCTTTAAAAAAAAAAAAA